TATAGGGATCACACCAATGCAGCTTTCATACAGTCTAAATTGTTAAAATTTTTTGATTTAGTGGGTCACAAGACTGCTGTGTTTATGTATAAAGCCAGGAACAATTTATTACCTGGTGGAATTCAAAATCTATTTAATGAAAGGGAAGGGGGATATAATCTAAGGGGTCAGTTAAATTTAAAAATTCATGCTATACGTACAACCTAAAAAAGATTTTGTATTTCCATAAGTGGGGTAAAATTATGGAATAATTTAAGTGTGGACATAAAAAATAGTAATAGAATTGATGAGTTTAAACATAAATATAAAGGTATGTGTCAATCAAGATATATGCAAGAACAGGCTTAATGATTAATTAGATGGAACATTGTGGGTGTGGTGTATGAATGTTAATACTATATAATAGTTCTTTAGTATATTACTTGTGTGGTGTAGAAGATAATTATCTAAGTATGCAATTATGTGTGAACAATCTGCAATAATTTTTTAGTATATTACTTGCGTGATGTAGAACAAAATTATCTATGTAGAAATACTGCTTGATGGTAAAATGATGTTATGGGGTAGGACTAGATAAGTCTAACTTCTTCCTACTCTGTTAAAGCATGTACTAGGTATAAGCAAATTGTGAATGGATAGCATTTGTGGATATGTGTGAAATTATGTGCGTTGACATATTGACTGTCTTTACGTGTTTGAAAGAATAAATCAAATCAATGTAAAGTTCCCATGAGGAGTGAAAACAAATGTGAGTGTTTGTGTGTGTTTTGTCGGTATGGGCATGTGTGAGTTTGCGTGTGTGCAAATGTTGCTACCTTTGAGAGAGAGCAGTGTCCTCTCCAGTGAGCTGAGAGCTGCAACCTCATTTCTGGCATAGATCTGCTGGAGGAAGCAGTCAGTGTGATGGCTCCACAGTGAGCATGCAAAGCTGTAGATACCTGACGCCAGCTGCCAACATACAAATTAAACAGTGCAATTAATCACACACAAATAAAATTATTCAGGATAAGTAATATGAGGCACATGAGGTTATTCTGAGAAACGCATGGAATTAATTACAAACATATCTGCACACTAGATTTATACGTGTTATACTGTACCTTTAACAGCAAAGACTAAACCAGTTGCACTGATGCAAATGCAAATGCACTTCCACATTACAGAGTCACACAGAACAAGTACAATCAGTGAGCATGTAGGGATCTCTGAGTCACAAGCCTAATTTAGCCATAAATGAACTTCCTATTACAATCACTGCCATAACATTATTTGGGCACAAACCAATTACATTTCAATGAAGGTATTCTCTTGTTGAGGGAAAACAAGATCATCAAAGGTAGACAAAAGAACTCTCGGTCCCATAAACTGTGTAGTATTTAGTTTGGCCCAGTAGCTCAGATAACAGAACGAAACCACCATAGCACAATAATGAGCTTTAGGTTATGCTTTGGGTCCTGTTTTTCTAAAAAGAATCAACAGAACAGAGGCAAACATTACATCTCAGTAACTATTCAAACATAGTAGCTGAATATTCAAGCATTTCAGGGTGATAAGAAAAACTCTTGAATATTTATACACTGTTATAATTTGGAGTTTAAACTGAGCAACCAGGCACTGTTTAAAAAAAAGTGAACTAGAACCCAATAGTCAGAGCTTCAGAAGTCCTCTGCAGAGATGGGAGAACCTGCTCAATGGATGGCCACCTCAGCATCACTCCATCAATCAGGCGTTTAGAGTAGTTAGACTGAAGCCACTTTGAGTAAAAGACAAATTACATTTAAAGGACTCTGAGAGCACAAGAAAAAAGTTTCTCTGGTCTGATGCAACAAAAACTAAAGTGTCTTGTCAGAACTCAATGCACTCTGCCTGGCTAATACCACCACTACGGTGAAACATGGTGTTGGCAGCGAGGGGGGTTGTTGGGGGGGGGGGGTCCCTTCTCAGTGGAAGAGAGACAGAGAAACTGCTGAGTATTTGCACTCCACGGCTCCCACGTAGAATATATTCTCTGCATTATATTGTGTTCTTGTGTGTTGTATTTTTATTGTGCTTCTTTCACTTGCCTTAGGTTTGTGTTACTCTCATTTAGATTTGTTATTGCTCATCTACTTTATATTTCACTTGTAACTGTGCATATGACAAATAAACACTTTGACCTTGACTGGCCAGAACTGAAACAAACATGAATGTTTACAGAGAAAACCTGCTTCGATGTGCATGTGATCCGGGACTGGGGCGACAGTCTGCCTTCCAGCACAACACTGACCTGAAGCATACAGCCAAGACAGCTTTGGGACAAGTCCCTGATTGTCCTTAAGGGACCCAGCTAAAGCCAAGACTCATACCTCATAAAACATCTGTGGGGAAACCTGAAGGCGGCAGTTTACACATGCTTGCTATACATTCTGATGGAGCTTGAAAGGATTTGCCAGGAAGAGTGGGATAAACTGCCCAAATCCAGGTGTGCAAAGCTTGCAGAGACTAAAACCTGTAATCGCTGTCAAAGAGACTTCTACAATGTACTGAATTAATACCCTTGTAAATGAAAGAATTTGCTTTTACATTTGTTTTAATAAATGCTTGGATTTAAACATGCTTGGATGTTATCATTACAGTTAGTGTAGACTGATGGGAAAGAATGTTTTTTTCCCTCAACTTAAAATTAAATCTACAAGCCAAAATGTTCAAAAAGTGAAGGGGTCTTAATACTTTTTTGAAGTCACTGTATCTGCTGTAAGTAACACTGAAGTGTCAAGTGGGAAAAATCTGAGAACCAGAGGTTCAATTTGTGACAAATGCCTGCTAAAAGAGAAATCCCCCTTCTGACAGCACAGCATAGGCTTTGACAGACTCTTTACAGAAAACTACAAGGCTGGCAAGTTTCTTCTTTAGTGAGATTTCCACTTTCCATTCTTCAGATCCGAGACTAATCCAACACATGAAATTTAAAAGTCTTGAGCCAAGTTTAGAAAATTCTTGACTTCCACACTCTTGGTGTACCATTTTCAAGCAATCAATCAATATTTAAATTGCATATATTTGTCTGAACACTTTTCTATGGGATCTAAGGAATTTTTACCTGTATTCTACATGACGAAAAGCAAGTCTGACAACACAGCTGGATATGCCTTCAAAATGACAAATGTGTGGTCTGTATACAATGTTTTCAGAAAGCAATGAGACTACTGATACCAGAAGTGTAAGGTCATTGTTCTACAGTTGTCATTGTGGTAGAGAGTTTAATGTTGTTTTCACCCCTTCTGTTTACTCAACAGAGGAGTAAATGTTGCATATGCTACATAGTGACTTGCATATTTGTGTGTACAGAATGTTGAATCTATTTCTTACCTCTCCTCCAGCAATTTAGTTAAATAATCTTAGGAATATTAATTCAAACACAAAGAAATTATAAATCCTATGTATGAGGTATGTACCAAAAATGAAGCAATAATCAGACTTCTGACAATTTGCTAAACATAATAAGGCACACAAAAGATATTCCACAACAAACCCCATGATATAATAGGGCTAAACATTAAACCCTTTTGTGAGCGTGATTTAGATCCCTGTATGATCTCAGTCTCACGTGACAATGACTCTGCCATGTTTGCATTAGCAGGGAGATGCCTTGCATCAAACTAAGTGCTCCCTTTTCCTCACTACGCTACGTTAACCAATAACTGCAACTAATAACCGCAAAGTGATTTATTTGCTTCAACTGCTACTCAGTACTAGGTGTATAGGGCAGGCAGCACAATGTTTGAAAAATAGTTGCAGGAGGGCACAGAATAGCTTTCACAATGTCAAACATGTTGAATTTGTCATTGAATCAGTCTTCTCTTCCTGTCTACAGCTAGTCATGTGAGCACTTGGTTTGATGCAAGGCATCTCCCTGTTAATGCAAACACAACAGAATCATTGTCATGTGAAACTGAGATTGTACAGGGATCTAAATCAAGCTCACAAAACAATTTAGCCCTATGGTATAAAGTACTGCATGTGCAACAAAAATCTATATATTTATTATAATCAAATGATTGTGAACTAACCAACCAATGACACCTGCTGTTTGCTAGCAAGCACAAAACAATACACAATAGATGTATTTTTCACATAAACAAAATACAATTGGTCAGCAAAGTGCAGCATTCCAAAGACTGCTGCAATTTATTGAGCCAGACATAAATCCTCATCATAACCCCAGGTGGCACACTGCACAAAAAAGATTTATGAAACAGCCCTGAAAAAGTATCCCTCACCACAAATTACTGGATTCCCCTGACAACGATTACAATAGCATAACACACCACACAACGTCAAAACAATGGACTGGCAGCTTAAATCCACTCTCCTGATAACCAAGACCATGCCCATTAAGCCTGCAATTTAATTTTTTGTGCAATAGTATATAAAAGAAGCCAGCCAGCCAGGGAAAAGCAGCCGGTTATATAACTGGCAGCCAGTAACTGGGGAAACGTCTGAATTCCAATTAATGAGTTTGGTGAATTGTCTCAATGGTAAGACCTGTTGTTGGTGTCCTTCTATCGGTGCTCCATTGAGAGCATCCTTACATACTGTATATGTGTATGGTACAGCAGCAGAGCAGCACAGTGGGTCAGAGGAAAACGCTCCAGAGGGTCATTAATATGGCTCAGAAGATCATCGGCTGCCCTCTCCTCACTCTGGAAGGACTACACAGTTCCTGCTGCCTCAAAAAAGCCCAGAACATCATTAAGTACACTTCACACCCAGGATGTTCACTCTCTGAACTGCTGCCATCAGGTAGATGGTTCAGAGCAATCAAATCAAGGACCACTAGACTCAAGAATAGTTTTTACCCAACAGCCGTTACCACACTCAATGCTGCTAAAATATAATATGCCTGTGTGTGAGGGGGGGCATGAGAAGTCTGTTTATTTCGTTTTTCTAGCGGTTAAGTTCTTATATGGTATTATTTCATATGGTTTTTTTTCTACTGCTGTACTGACTGGAGGTCACTAAAATTTTGTTCTACGTGTTACAATGACAATAAAGGATTATCTATCTGTTGCGTGCATCTGTGTGTATGCATTTGTCTGGTCCTTTTCACATCTGCAGACAGAGACAAAAGAGGCTAATTTTAATAAATGTAAACAATTTCCTCCATTTGCAAGCTGGTTTCCTACTTAAGGGAAAACTCACAAATAATCATAGAAAAATGCACTTCATTTCACTTGACAATTTGCTCATGACTACCCAACCAGTGAGATATTGCCCTTCTATTTCTATCAAAAGCTACACTGGTTCACCATCATAGCATTCATTTCGGTGTCTCACTATGGGATACACCCCCTTGCATATTCACAGAAACACTTATACCATTACACCAGCACTGAGCGCTGGCAGTCATGGCGTCAGCATCAACGCCCTCAACCTTCTACAGGCAAAATGCAGCGTCACTCAACATTCCATTACCTCTTCTCACTTCAAAAGCCAAGCATTTTCTCTGCCAGCATCACAGCTAGCTAGCTTAACTGCTCTCAGAAAGCAGACAGCTAACAACTCCATCAATGGGCGCTAGAAGCAATCAACACCTGCCTGACTGCCTTCATCATAGCTAGATTTTCCTTCCTTTACTCTGACGTCAAACGGTGCCAAAGGCACAAACGCATTTCTTTTTAAAGGTTTGTGAACGTGTCTGTCCATGGAATTATCTATATTATTCTGGTAGCAGCAAAAATCTATTGTGTGCATCTCTCTCAGCGTGGTTTAAATGTTTTCCTATACTTTTAAATTCAGTTAAGCAATGCAAATGTGGCTGTTCGGTAGCAACAAGAGTCTATTGCTCAGTAATATGATTTTCAACCGTACAACTGCATTATAAAACACTGTTCAGATTATCCAGTTCTCTCCAAACTTTTCCATTTCTTTATGAATGGCCATGTTTTTACTAATGCACACTTACAAGCTTGGAGAAAAAAATCCTGAAAGTGTCCCAGTTATCCTCCTCCTCCTCAAACAAAGCTTCGACTTTGTTTACACCATTTTCTATCTTACGTCTTAATAACTTTCTGCACACTTAC